AAGAGGGGGTGGTGGCCCTTTGGTCTCTGGGGGGGTTGTGGGGGGACTCAAAGCCCCAGCTGCACACTGGAGATGGGGGTTTTGCTGGGCAGAAGCCAGCATAGCCAGGGCTTTCCTGGGAATTCTGTTTGCAGGGTGCGGAGAATGTGCTATTCCGGCATAGAAGATGGGATGATTATTTTTTTTTTTAGGATGGGTTTTTAGGTCCCTTGGCATTACGGAGTGTGGGTGGGACTGTTTCATTCCTCCGTGTCTTCCAGTTTTCATCCATAGCACGTGGAAATACACTGGAATACCTGTCTCCCAAGACAAACAACTTTCATCTGAGAACTTGAGAGTCGTAAAGAAACAACGTTGTTTTTCTGTTCCTGTTACATATAGGTTAGATTGGCTGTCCTAGTCGTTTAGTGGACTGTTGAAATGTCCCTTTTCCTTGCTGCTTCTTTATTATTTTCTTTTTCCTGCTAGCTGCTCAGTTTTGAATGTAGCTTTTCGTTTATGCTCTGTTTTTTGTTTCCTTCTGACCACAGAAGCTGGAGGTGCTAGCACTGGCTGGGTCCCTTCTGATGTGTTTCCTCGTTAATGCAGGACATCCTGGAGAGATGTCTTCTCTGCAAATTACCCTGTCTGATCTCAAAAGTCCACAGCAGAGAGGGCTTTCACTATGCCACCTGAGAAATGGTTTAACTCTTGAACAGACCTCTCTGTTTGACATGCTTCCTGTGGCAAATCCATTACAGAGAACCTGCCCTGATCTCTGGGATGGATTGGTCTCATTAAGTCTCCACCTTCTTGTAATGGATTTCATTCCTTCCTTTGGGTCATTCTCTTGCTTGATCTCTCCCCTTCCTTAGTGTTTGGAGCCTTTGGAGACCTCCTCATCCCCTTAGCGATGTCACTGTTTTGGTAAGTCATCTGTGTTAGCTTATCTTGACCTTTCTTAACCGTTTTATTTCTTTTGTGTGGTTCTGCCTTTCCTCTGATTAACGAAACGTGCCAACAGAGCAGCCTAACTGGATGGAGCAGGCACTGCATGCTCTGAACACCACGTAGTTCACACTTGCGTGCTCTCTCGCATGTCAAACCGTAGATGCCTGCCCAGTCTGGGAGTTCCCGTTGGTTGCGACTCGCTCAGTCAGGCGTATCCCTCCGTGTTTGTGCATATTGCTTTTTATCGAGCAGTCCCAGCGTGCTGAATAGCTCAAGATGAATTATCTTTGCTTGGAGGCGCTATCTGTCCTTTTTCCTCTGGCCAAAACTAGTTTTATTTTCTTGCCCTTTCCCCAAGGCGCCCTTTTGTGTTATTTCCCACACTTCCAAATTAAGTAGTATCACCAGGATAAGCCTCCCCTTCTAGATCTTCCCAGTGAATGTTCAGTAAAACCAGGTGAAGCCAGTTGAACTGGGATGCCAGTTCATTCCTATCCTCTCCTACCTCCTTAGCATTGCTGTGTGACCATCCTTCTGGTGCTTTCACTCCTTCTTGCTCAAGAGAGAGGTCCGCGAAATCTGTGATACCGACTGCATGCCCTCTGCCCCCAGTTCTGTAGTCAAAATGCTGTCCAGTTGGCATGGCATGGCATCAGGGATGATCTTGTGGACTTCATCTTCCAAGTTTTCAGAGAATTTTCCGTATGTGCTTTTCCACATGCTTTCCTGTTCTACCTGAGCTAAATTAGCTGGTAGCTGCTGCTTCTTTCCCTCTTTGAAAGATGACCGTGGACAACTGTTGCTCATAGAGAGCTTTGCGGGGGGCAGAAAGGGAGCAATTTGAGTAGAAGAGGTGGTAACACCACGCTCTTGCCGGGTGGCATAAGCTAGGAGAAAAAGACCTGTCGGTAGCTGGGCGTCGTGGTTTGACTGCCTTTTGTGTTTGGGCGAGATGAGGGAGAACAAGGCTCTTTTGAGCTGCGTGTGGCTGCGGAGAGAAGCCCAGTGCGTGCTCTTGTCCTGCAGTATGGGGCTGGAGTCGGAGCGGCGGGGAAGAGCATGGCCTGGCTGGAATCGAGGAGGTAGGGCAAATTCAGGAGAGGAAAATACAGAGATTGGGAAAGGGAAGAAGAAAAAGTGAACCTAACCAAAAGAAGGTGGTAGCTTCTCTGCAGAAGGTAGTGGGCAAGGAGCAGTAGGCAGAAGGAGTGCGCAGGAGGAGGGATTGGTGCTGTGCACCACGGCTCAGCTCAGGCTTGTGACCCAGAGATAGCTGGCAGCAGGTTAATCTGGAGTGCGATGTGTCTGTGTCCTGCTGAGTGGCTGGACACGATAGAAAGCTTCCATGTGTGCAAGGCTTGATCACGCTCCCGCTGACTTCGAATGGCAAGTGACCATGTGAGGACAGTTGAGTGCATGAAGGAAGGGGTGATGCCCGCGCTCTGGGCAGCACGATGATTGTAATGTCCTGTCATACAGGCACTCAAGTCTACGTTTTCCTCTTGTAAGACCCCAGCAGCTGCAAAGCCTACTAAATTCATCAGCCTCTTCCAGGGTCTGTATTAGTCTGTTGACAGTTGACAAAGTCCTGCTGAGCACTGGGAACAGTGTCCTGGGTGACTCTTCTGGTGTCCTCTTTCTAATACATCTCTACTTGCCAGCCGCTGAAACTAGAAAACAGGGCTTCGTCTCAGCTCAATGCAGGTACGCTGTTTGAGACAGCTCTGTGGAGGACTTTGGTGGGAAACCAGTAGGTTAAAAATAGGTCCTTCCCCTCTGAAGTAGGGGTGTGGGGGAGAGGAAGGCTGGGTTTGCAGTGGAGGGGGTTAGGGGCAGTATATCGCTAGGCAGTGGGGGAGCAGTACTCGCTTTTTCTTGCTGCTCTCGGTGTCTCTGAACTCGGGTCTGCTGGGTGTATGCTGGAGTCCTGCACAAGCCAGCTGCAGTCTGCTTCTCTCTGAAAGCAGGCGAGAGTGGAATTCCTGGAGCAGCTGTCTTTAGTTCTCCTGCTTTATCCTGAGTTAATAGTATCTGGGACGTGCTCCTTAAGAAGGGTAAAACCAGGAGTTACTAATAGCATTGCTTTGCCTACTAAGTTTTGTGTGTCCAGAATTGTCTGTGAGCAAGTACTCACTGTTGAGAAATGAGCCCTTCTTAAAAGGAGCACAGGCTGGGCATCTCAAGCTAGACTTGCTATGATCCGTAAAGATCCCAGGATAGGAGTGGAGATTTCCCCCAAAGTCTTTATTTTAGACCGTCATCTCCTCTTCTGGCGCTGGTCTGGAAGCGATCCATGCCAAAAGGGGGAAGCACTTCAATAGGGGGGCAGTGCCTGCGTGCAGGGTCAAGGGGCCGGTGCTGCTGCTGGACACACAGCAGGTCCTCTAAGCTTAATCCTGACCTCGCCGTACTCCGTCATCCTCCCTGCCTCGCTTCAGTGCCTGTGGATGTGTTGCGAGTGTTAGAGGAAGGCTGTGAATTGCCCCCATATAACGTTTTGCTGTGCTGGTACCCCACAGCCAGGCCAATTTTGAGGAAGACAGCCAGAAGCAACCAGCTGTGGGACACTGGAAGACACTAATGCCGTCCAAAGGCAGCAAGGAGGAGTCAGAGACTGGATGCCAGGATGCTGGAGGTGTGGATGAGACCCAGTCCACTGAGCAGCTCAACGTGTCACGGCTGCGCAGCTCTTCAGTGGAGATCCGTGAAAAGGGGTCTGAATTCCTGAAGGAAGAGCTGCACAAAGCACAAAAGGTAAAGCCCAGAGTTTGTGAGAACATCTGACAAAGGCGGCGCAGATTGGAGCGGTGGGGCTTTTCCTAGAGGTGGTGCTGAGGGGAGCAGGGGTCTGAATGTGGCTGTGCCGCAGTCTGGAGCAGGCAGAAGAGGAGCGAGATTGAGCTGAGGTGGCTATAAAGTGCTTTGGAGCAGGACGTCAGTTGTTAGGTTGACGCAAAGCCTCCATGCCAACATCCAAATTAGTCCTGGGAACCTGCTGCAGAAGGCACCTTGAGGCAGGCAGTGCTTACTGTGGAGCTCTCCTTGCTAATGGCAAATGAGCAATTCCAGCCTGAAAAGCCTGCTACAACTTGTGGAGGGATGCCTTTGGTGACACGGAGCGTGGTACGGAGTTTAGTGACAGAAGTCCTGGGCTGGGGATCCGTGCCGTGGTGGGGAGGAGAGGGTGTGATTGACAGGTGGGGGCAGGCAGGCGTCAGCACTGCTGGGGCCTGCTATCAGCTCACACACCCCTCTCCGTTTCCTCAACAGGAGCTGAAACTGAAGGACAAAGAATGTGAGAGATTGTCAAAAGTCAGAGAACAACTGGAGCAGGAACTAGAGGAGTTAACAGCTAGCCTATTTGAGGTACCACCCTCTTCCTTTTCCCATCTTTTCTTAAGCTAAGCTCGCATCCAGCTCCTTTAAGACAGGCTTTCCCTGAACTTCCAGCCATCTCATCCCACAGTTACCTCCTTTCCCACTTGGAGAAGCGGAGCTGGGCCGTGCTGCAGGCAGAGCCACAGAGCAGGGGCTTGTACCTGCTCCTGGGGAGCATTTGCATGCATTTCTTTCCCCTTCTGGCAGCTGTGGGGTGGCATAAAGAGCACAGTAGTTATGGGTCTGTACATCTGGTAGCAAAACCAGATGGGGGGATGCCTGGAGCTGGAGCTAAGCATCGCTCCCTGTCCCTCTCCCCTGCCTGCTCTGTGGTCTGGAGAGCAGCTGCTGTGTAATAGAGATGATTGCCTGGCTTGTGTCAGCCCTTGCTTGGGGTGGGAACAAGCTGGATGTCCTCATACACTCTGCTCCAGTGAGTTTTCAGAAGGCCTGTTGGTCTTTTTTGTAACGTGATTCTTGCCAAGCTCTATCCTGGCAAAATCCCATTTACCAGCAGCATTAATGTCTGGATCTGACTGGGCAGGGAGGAAAGCCAGAGTCCATCTGTACCTTCAAAACACAGGCTGGTGCTGAGTGTGAGGGCCAAGGGAGCATCCCCCTCCTGGAGATTTGGCTGCTTGGGCTCAGGGTGAGCTTAGAGATAATGTAGGTGAGGGCTGTCCCCTTCCTTTGGTGGCCTTGGACAGACTGCTTCCAGACAGTGCTGCGGGGAGGCCGCAGCTGGGACTCGCACGGCTCCCCTTTTGCTGTGGGAGGTGTTTTTAAGCTAGCCTCTACCATTTGGCCCCCACCTGAGCTCCAACTCCAGCTCCTGCTGTGTTGCAGCCATGCCCAGAGCAGTGAGGGCTGGCCACTCCGCAGTGGAAGTGGGACCAAAGGGCAATAATGAGTCAGGCAAGAGCAGTGAGCTCACCAGTGAGGAGCCAAGACCTGGAACAGCAAGTCTGGATCAGGATCTGTGCCACAGACAGCAGTCAGGGTCAGAAAACACTCCAGTGATCGACCAGCAAGTCTGCAGTGACAACGCAGGCCTGAGGTCAAGTCAGGAAGCCAAGCTAGTGAGTCAGAGTCAAGGTCAGGGTCGCAGAGGTATCGGACTGGGCGCAGACACGGCTGCGATGTAGCTCAGGTGGGTGCTGATAGTAAAACCTCAGCTTTAAAGCAATTCCCAAGGGCAAGGAGGGGCAGGCCCTTGCTTCTAGCTTTCTTCACAGCAGCCCGTATCGGTGAAAGAGATGACCTTGGACTCAGCCAGCTAAACTCTTTAATTGAGCCAGCAACACTCCTAGAAGGGGGATGCACTCCAGGCTCTGGCACATTCCCCTTTTCTGGGAAATTCTGGGGGAAGGCTCTTGACAGCTGACAGAGTGAAACCCTTGGATGTGGCAGTGATGTCTGTCCCCCTGCTTGCTTGCCCAAGGCATGTGATATGGCAGAGCTTTGGCCTGCCCTGGTGGCTTTATGAGTTGGGGCTGCAACAGGCAGACTAAAATTCTCTCTGGTCCAGGAAGCGCACAAGATGGTGAGAGAAGCAAACACTAAACAGGCGGCATCAGAGAAACAGCTGAGGGAGGCACGGGGGAAGGTGAGAACCGCACTCTCTGTGACTTGATCTCTGTGCTAGATTGGTGCCATCCCTACCCAGCCTGGCCATGGTGCTGTTTGAGAGTAAAGTACCTGCAGCTCGGTCTCTCTGAGATGCTGCATTTGCTCTGTTCCCTCTCCAGCAGACACTGAGTGAGGGGGTAAAAGGCATCCTTGCAGCCTGCTGCTGATCCAGCTCCCCTTTGAGAAATGGATGCCAGGGGAACCACAGAGAAGTGATATGCTGTTTAATCGCCACGGCTGCGGGGATGGATAGAGCAGGGAGCTGGGGAGTTGGAATTTCCTGACAAGGCTGCATCACAGGGCTGCTCAGCTGGTTCCTTCTTGAGGATAGAGAAAGTTCTTCTGGGTTATTGGGTCTGAAAAGAGCCTAGGGCAAAATGTGGCTCAGAGGAGCAGAGGGATGGGTTTCTGAAAAGCTGCTCTTGAGCCCTGCTTAAAATTCTGGGTGATGGTGGGCATTTGGGAGAATGGGAAGAAGGCTTCGTGACTGGGCTTGTAGCTGGTTCCCTGTGGCTTTAGAGTTTGGTGGGGTGCAGCAAGCTCGAGCTCAGCCGGTTCTGAAGGTGCTGTTGACTCTTGCCTTGTCTCCTCAGATCGACATGCTGCAGGCAGAGGTGACAGCTCTGAAGACGCTGGTGATCACATCCACACCTTCCTCTCCGAACCGGGAGCTGCACCCTCAGCTCCAGAGCCCTTCTAAAACTGTCTTCAGGAAGGGCCACGGACGAAACAAAAGCACCAGCAGCGCAATGGTCTCGGCTGCCAGCCAGAATATGACTCCAGAGCCAGTCAATCATGAGTGCAAAGAGGTGGGTGAGGGCCAGTCGCTGCATCGGCCTCGGAGCCACTGCCGTTGCTCTGCTCAGGGAACTGTGCGGCTTCTGACTTGGGCTTCCTGGAGAGCTTTGTGGTTTCGGTGTTGGGAGAAGCTGTGCAGTAATGTGGCTTGTTCCCTAAATTTGTGCTGAGGCAGATCCTGGAGGGTTTCCGTTTGTGGAGATTTCCTCTTCTGGGAAGCGTGTTGAAGGCTGCGTCAGGACAACTGCTAGAGGAAGCAGCTGAGGGATGCCTGGAGGGCATGGACAGATCCAGGAGTTACCAGTGCTGAGAGTGGCTATGTCAGGAGGTGCTGAGCAGAAGCCGGTTGTTTGCTGCATCTTGGCAGTTGAGTCCACTACCTGTTCTGGCGTGATTTGCTGTTGTTTCTTCTCTCTGCCTAGTTTGGCTTGGACATCAGGACGCCTCCATCAACTTGTAGCCTCTGTCACTTGTTTTGTGTTCTTGGGCATGTCACTGTTCTTCCTCTTCTTCGCAGAGCATATATTTAATTAATTGTAAATAATTCCTTCCTCACTGAAAGGAACTGGGCAGAGAAGCATACAAAGCATTTGTGAGTATCTTTCAAACAAACCCTGTTTAATTCCCTTTGGTGATCCTCTGATAGTCCCCCGCCTGCTCTGACCGTGGGTGTAAGTAATGCTTCTTGCTGCTTAGCAGGACCTTTCCATCTGGGAACTTTCCCCTGGCCAGATGTCTACACAGCTGTCCTGGGGAGCGAAAAGGAGGCAGCATATGGCACTTGGTCAGGAAGAATGAGAATGAGTGAGAATGTGATGGGGGAATATGTCTCCCTGGTGATTTTTTTGGGGAGCTGCGGCCTCTGTCATGAGGAATTGTTGAGGGAGCACGAAGGAACCAGGTCACTTGGCTTGTGTGAGAACGTATGCGGAAGGGCCATTTGTGAAATTAATACCCTGGCCAAACAGGACTGTGCTGGCAACACTGGTAACGTCTGCTTTTGGCAGTGGATTTAGTGAATGTGCCCTGTCAGCTTCTGCGCAGTGCTCTTGTTGCTACAGTTTGGATGGAATGCTTCAGGCAACGTTGGCTATAGCCATTGTCCTGAGACAGCAATAGCAGCGAGAGATGAAGATCTTTAACTCTGTTCATAGGCAGAGAGGAGCAAAGGCTATGTCAGAAAGAAAGCCAAAGGAAAAAATGAATTCAGCAACTGTGAAGGCCTGACGAGTGGTTTCTCTTGGTCAAGCAGGGAACAGTCCAAATACGCTGGAAGTTGGAGTCAAATGCTGTCAGCTGGAAGCTGGTTTGAGGTCCAGGAAGAAAACGGTTTTAATCTTTTTAAGGTCCTGTGACCTCTCCCAATGCTAACCATTCCTCCAGTCAGAACAGGGGAGCTCCAAACTGAGAGCCCGGTTTGGTGAACCGCTGGACTGCTCTGTAGAAGTTGCCCTTTGCCTACAGTAAGCAGAGATAGCTTTTGCCTACTGGGTAGTTCATTTTGCTGTTCTTGGCTCAGTCTCAGCAAAGCTTGTGTTGCCGATCTTTAGAGAAACACTAGCTCTTGTGACTTGCTTGTTAAAGATTTGGACCTGTCATTTCTTTGTGTAGGTAACTTCCACATGGTGCAGATATCCTGGGTCTTAATATCCCAGGGCTACAGCTTCCAAAGTGACTAATAATTTTATATATCAAGGGTGGGGTGGATTTTTGTTGAGTTGTTAGTTTCTGTCTCTCAGATTCCTTAGTGGCCTACGTGAGAGGTGATAAAAGGGAACTTGGCATTCAGGGACTGGGTGCTTGGTGCTCTATGGAAAAAATGTGCCCCATCTTAAATTGAGCCTAAAAATGTCAGAATTTCTGTTCCCTTTTTGCACCTCAAGCTGAAGTCAAAAGGTGTGGCTTGTGGCCCTGTGATGTCCTGAGCAGCACGCTTAGTTCCCTTTCCTTGTATCTTCTGTTTTGTCTCATGTTTTTTACCTCCTTTTCTTGCCTCACTAAACCTTTTCCTTCACTGTCTGTCTCTTCCTCTGCCCTCAAAGTCTGGGTTACCCGCTCTCCTCTCTCTGCTCCTTTGTATCATCCCTGGGAAGGCTATCCACATCACCTATGAGCCAGGCTGGCAGGCCGTGGGGGCAGATGCTTCCTCATCCTTGCGGCAGGTAACCTTTCTGGACAGCACTGGGGATGGGTGGGACCCATCTACCTCTCACACTTCCAGCCTTTTGGTTCTGGCTTCCTTTTATGCTAACCTCCATTTTTTTTGTTTTTGTGTTTTGTTTTTTTTTCTTCTCAATTTGTTTTTCCATCTTCTGGCTCTGAAGCTGTCTCCTGGTACCAGGTGAGCAGTCTCCATAGCATAGAGCGAGTGTGCTAGAACCCAGACCTTTTTCAGCTTTCTTCACTCATGTTCTTTCTATTGCTCAGCAGGATTTCTTTAGTTTTGTTTTTCCTTTCAGCAGCTTTTACAGGATTTGCTGGCCTTTTAAGGAGATGCCCTGTCAGTCAGGTTGGTGGTTTGGCTAATGATCCGTCTGGGGTTTAAATGCCAGGTCCCAGAGAGTCTCCAGGACTGAAGTATTTTCAGCCAGACGTGGATGGAGGGAGCGACCTTCATGCTGGCTGAGGGGATGGGAGCAAGCTCTGCCCAGCTGTAAAAGGCAATGCGCAGACATTAGAATGAGGAAAACTGTTCCTACTCCCTTTGAGAGACCTCCGTTCCTACACTCAGCTTGCCTCTGCAAGCCTCTGTGGCTGCCCGGTGTTCCCGTTACTTCTGTGACCCCCCAAAAACCAGAGTTCTGGCCTTGGAGTGGTCTTTAAAGGGCTGGCATACCCTGTGAGCTCGTACTTGGGCTCACTGAATGTAGTCCTGCTGATGGCTGTTTATTAATGGCTTTTTCCAATTCATCCTTTTCTGTAGCAATCCTTTCTTTACAGAAAGGTTCTGCCTCCTGTGTCCTGGGTGCCGTTGCCACTGTGCTTTGCCATTCAGCTGCTCTCGTCGTTCCTGCCATGGCCTGAGTGGGCACTCGGTCTGTTCGGTGGTTGTGTGGTGGCTTTCCTGCAGCAGAGGTGCTGCCCTGTCCTGGAGAAAGACGGGATAGAGAGGGGCCTGCAGGTTTCTGCCAGACTAAGCGCAGTATGGCTGTGTCAGTCTGGCACAGAACTGCTGGTGGGTGGGAGATGAAAGATCCTCGGAGCAAGCCAGCCTCCCTCAGACACTTCTGTGGTGTCTGAGCCTTTCCAGATGCCAAAGGAGATGTTTCATAATTAGGTTACCTGCATAGTATCAGATACCTTCGGATATGGTCTATCTCCTTCCACCCACCTTCCCTCTCCGGCTCTTCTTGAACACTTGCTGCAGGTCGACTCCATTTTATTTGCTGAGTTCCAGGCCTGGAAGGAATGTCCAACTTTGGATAAATCCTGCTCCTTCCTGGACAGAATTTATCGAGAAGATGTAGGACCTTGTCTGGACTTCACTAAGCAGGAGGTGAGTGCTGGAAAAGGAGGACCAAAACTGCACAGCCTGGCAGTACCAAAGTTGCATCTTTATGGAGGTGACTTTCGCACGTTCAGATCTGCACTAATTTCTCTTTGCTACAGCTGTCGGAGCTGGTGCGAGTGGCCGTGGAGCAGAATACACTCACCATTGAGCCAGTTGCTTCCCAGACACTGCCTGTGGTGAAGGTGTCAGCAGAAGAGTGCGGTGGGCCAAAGTAAGGAACCGTGCCTACGCTCTCTTGTCCTCTCCTTGCTGCTGGTCTTTTTGTACCATCTAGGTGGAGTTTGGCCAGGCCTTGCTCAGTCAGTTGAGCTGAACAATTGGAAGGGCTCAGCTGAGCGTTCTCCTAGCCTGTGAATTATCTCAGCTCAGCTGATGTACTGTAGTTGGCTGTTTGGGGGGATAACCTAGCCATGTGTCAGTGCCCTCGGCTTGGGAGAGGGTTGGGTTGGGGTTTTTTTCCCTTAAGGTAGCAACTTGTTGAATGTTCTCTGAAGGTGGGTTTGTGCATAACCTAGGGCAAAAGGATTAAGTTGGAGCTGCGTTATCTCATGTTCTTGCATCTTGTGAGGTTTGAACTCACCTTCCACTCCTGACCTTGCTGGTGGCCCAGGTGGGTTTGAGCCTAGGTCAGAAGAGATCTCCTCTTGCTGCATATCATCTTCCCCACCCGATGCTGTTGCCTTGGCATCAGAATTGGGGCTGGGGCTGCTCCAGAGCTTGTGTGACTGTATCTGATGTGACAGACAACTTGAGGTTGCCTCAAAGAAGAGGGGCACTAGTGGGAGTGACATGATATTCCAGACAAAGAGAGGGGATTTTTATTCAGCTATTGAATTGAAGTTCAGTTAGGGCGCTCTCTCTTTGTTCGTCCCACCCTTACCCTCAAGCAAAGCACCTTCTAAGCAAAGGTGTTCCTGTAACAGTAAACGCTGCTCACATGCAGGTTTCCTACCACTCTCTTCTGCATTTTCTGTCATCTCTAGGCAAATTGTTCCATGAGTATGTGTCAGGCCTGTTCCAAGAACAACCCATCCTGTGTTTATCCTTATCGATTTCCTTTTGACTTTTTTTTTTTATATCTTCACAGTGGGTTCCGGTCACAAATTGTAACGTAAGTGAAGTATTTATTTTTTAGTTAGTGATCAAAGATCTCTAATCCATTAACAAGTTACTAACTTAGTGCAATTTAGCAGCTTTGAGGCTAGGGCTGAACTAAGTTAACTTTTTAACCCTGTTTCATTTCCATGCAGACAGGATGGTAAGGAATCTTGCTATTGGCAATAAAGGACCCAAAAGGAATTTGTTCCCCCTTGTGTCCCAGGTGCAAAACACTGATTTCTTTTTTTTTTTTTAATGGCAACTTCGGACATGCTGTGGACCGGAAAGGAGAAAACTGCGGTCCCTGCCCAAGCTGGGACCTGCCAGACCTGCGTGCAACTGTCCAGACCCCAGTGCAACAGTTTGGGGAGTCTGGACAGGCGGGGACCAAGCTGGCTGCTGTGTGCCATTGCCTATATAGGATTAGAGCAAAATGCTGGCCAGGACGTGCTGGGGATAACTGGCTCTCATGATGGCATGCCCAGCAAAATGCCCTGGGGTGTGTAGAGTGCTGAAGGGCAGGTGGCCAAATGCTGTGGTTTAGGTTACTTCTAGCTACGGTTGTGATAGCTGGGATTACACCAGGTGGTACCAACCAAACTGAGAGGGACCAGCAGGAGTCCTTTAGTCCTTTCCCCGCCCCCCCCAGTATGTTGCATGCTCAAATTTGGACCTCTTAAAGATATCTTGTTTACAAAGGTATTGGTCATCCAGCACCTTCTGAGAATTTAATCTCCTTAAGTTGTGTTAGTATTTGGTCTATGATTACTTCTAATTGCATCTGAACACTTACAGCCCATGTTTCCACTCTTAGCTAATATTTGCCTTGATAGCAGTGGAAAGCAAGCACAGAGACATGCTCAGAAGCTCCCTGAAACATCTGCTCCTGTGTGTTGTCATCTTCCTTGGCCCACAGAGCAATTTTTTGCAGCTGAGGAGTGATGTCCCTCTTCCCTGCATGCAGGCATTAAGTCTCTGGGGAACATGGTGATGACTATGCAGCAGAAAATTCTGCTTTACTGCTTTAAGTGGTGATGAAGGAAGGGCAACTGACTGGTGCTGGGAACCATTTGTCTTGCAAATAACGGAAGGAAATGGCAAGAAAATAGAGGCATGCTGCTCCCTTGCTGATTACGCCTTTTGGTGGTCTCCCTGGGAGCTGAGCTGTCTTGAAAAGACTATTCTTCTCGCTCGGTCTGAAATCTCCTTACAGTTGTGAAACCAGGCTTCTTCCCTGTCTGCGCAAGAAGGGATGGACTTGTTCTTAGGAACTGCAAGCTTTATCCGAAGCCCCCTGAAATCACCACAAAGTCACTTCATGTGGCTTCAACTAGAGTAGCTTCGAATCGGGCCCAAATTAAATAATAGGAACCTAGCATAAAGGCTGCAGTGTGGCTTGCTTTGAGTTCTCAGCATGAACAACTTTTGCTCAAATGCTGGATTTACCTGTTTTGAGACCAGGTTTGGTCCCCAGCCAGCATGATTGCATCCCGTCAGGAAGGCTGATGCACCTGAGCAGAACTCCTTCAGCAAAAGCCTTGCCTGGAACATGGAGGAGATGTGCAGAGACCAGATGACATTTGTTATACTCTGCTCCAGCCTCACCTCTTTGATATTTCCTGTGGTTTTGTCTTGGGCTGTCTGCCAGGGAAAGGGTACAGCCTTGGTTTGCCTGGGCGTGGAATAATTCATGGTTCCAGATATTTAGCCTAAGGTCTCCTAAACTTGCCATTTATGGAATCTTTTCAGGAGCAGAAGGCTCATGTCAGCCATGCTTTTTTTGCTTTTTTCCTGCGTCATGTTGACCAACACAGCTCTGGCTTCTGAGGTCCCACTTCCATCTCTTGGGGATAGTCTTGAGGTTGTTGAATTGCTGTGCTCTGCTGTGCCACTAGATTGCTTGAAAGCTGAAGTGTTTTTATCTTGTCTGCAGGAAATGTGCTCTGAGTGGCCTCCCCAGGACCTGCAAGCACCGCATCATGCTGGGGGATTCTGGGAATTACTACTACATTTCACCATCCTGCAGGGCCAGGGTGAGTCTTCCACCTTCCCAGGGTGCCTCGACCCTCCAAAATTGTTCCAAGCCCTGAGATGGAGGAGCTCTTGGGTCAGCTTTCAAACTGACAGAGACCTGTGGGGCTTGAGTTTGTTCCTGAAGTCAAGGTGGCTCTTGGTCGATGACTTAGGGTGCAGGTCTCCAACCCTGCCTCACGCTCCGCTGCTCTGCCTTATGTTCCTTCAGGCAACCTGTCTTCAGTGCGTTCACTTTCCATGGTTTGATTCAGTACAGGGCTTTCATTGTTTTCCTTTATTATTATTTTTTAATTCTCCTTTGTAAAACACAGTAATTTTCTGCTCTTTAAATGCTGGCCCTTGTTACTGTTCCAGTACAGATCAGTGACTCAAATGATTATGAGAACAAGCTGCCCTTTCTTTGGAGGGAGGGGAGAAGGTGAATGATTTGTTAATGTTGCTGTTGGGGCTCTGATTCAATGGAGCATTTTAGAAGTTTATTCTTTCTTGAGTTGCATATCAGAAGAGCTGATGCTGCAACGCGTGACTGTTTCTGAGAGAAAAAGTTGGTTTTGCGCATGGACTTAAGTTGATTTTTTTGTCACTTGCACCAAAGTACTGTAATGTGTCATGAACACCCTTACTCCCTGCACATGTGCCTTCTGCACAAACCTTGAACTCCAAAGATTTTTTTTTTCATTCAGTCAGAGAACGGTGCTCTTTGAAGGAAGATCATGGACTTTGCTGCCACATTAAGTAGTGATTACTTATGTCTCAAATCTGCAGTAAATTGGAGTTCTTCCATAGTGTGTCTCATGGATAATGTAATATCTTGGGATGGGATTGCAGACGCCCAGAATTTTAAATTTTATTTACTTTTTTTAAACCAGCTTTCTTCCTATCTCTTTCCATCTGGTGGTATGTGGTACTATTTCTGCTCTTTCTCAGGTGCTGAACACCACGAGCTCTCCTGGTGGGTGCTGTGCAAGCCTCTTGACAGGCAAAGCAATTCTATAGCTAACTTCTCTTTTTTTTTTTTTTTTCCCTCCTCTCTCCCTCAGATCACAGCAGTGTGCAACTTCTTCACGTACATTCGCTATATTCAGCAGGGCTTGGTGAGGCAGGATGGTAAGAGGGGACAGTAGCTGGCTGCGGTGGGGATGCCTTCTGTGGGCCATTGGGAGGAATTAAGAGGTCCTATTCAGTGTGACAGGAATGGGGTCAGCCTGGGGTACCTGAACTCCCTGTGTCTTTGAGGAACAGTTAAATCACAAAAGAAAGGCATGAGAGGGATGCACCTTTTCCTTGCTTATCAGCTTGTGGGAGCTTTGCCCTGGGGTGGAGCTGGTAAGGGGTGACCCGATGGCCCTGTCCTGCTGGACCCTCCAGCGTGTCTGCTTCCCTCCCTTTGGGGGTGAGCCTGGCCGGGCCGCCCCGAGAGCCCGGCAGAACATGAGGTGGTGTCCAGCTGTGCCTTGTTTACTGATTTTTTTTTTTTGGTGGTGTTTTTCCTTCTCTTCCCCACACCCGTTTTGCTTTGCAGTGGAGCTGATGTACTGGGAGGTCATGCGGCTCCGGAGGGAGATGTCTCTGGCCAAACTTGGGTTTTATCCCAGTGAGATGTAAGCAGAGGCCTGAGCGTGGAAGGAAACTGCTCCTGTATGAACGGGTTGTCAAACGTAGTCTGCCAAACAGATGAGTGCGGTGCCTTTCCTGCAATGGGCCTTACTCCCTCCCCACCCTCCCTCTGCCTGAAGCTGGTCAAGGAGCAAGAAGCACAAGTTCCACCTTCAGCTGTCCCACTTCTCCAACCGTGACTGGAACGCAGCTGCCAAGCTACCCCCTCAGAGCTGGGCTGGCCCTGGCTGCGCTGGGGTGGCCGTCTATAGACTGTCCTCTATGGAGTCTCCTATATGCAGTGTATATCCTTTGGGTTTGTTTTTTTAACTTTTGTTTTTATATGCAGTCTGCTTTGGCATAGTCTGAGGCCAGCCCTGTGCAAGGCGGGAGTCCTGGACCTTTCGGGACAGATGCTGGCTGTCTGTCCATCTGTTCCACTCCTCCTTTGGGTGGAGGGTGCTGTACCCAGCCGTACACCTCGGTCCTGCTGACCACTTACTCCCCTAACGGCCCTGTAAATGCCAGCAGCGCGCCATAATCTTATGGAGAGCCATGAACAGCCTGTTTCCGAGTACTTCCTTGCTCCTTTTAAAGGAGCCTGCAAGAGAAGCTTTCTGCCAACTGAATCACAAAGAAGGATTTGTTTCTGCTTTTAGCTTGCGATTTGGCACTGGGTAATCCAGGCTGGGGGAACAGCCGGAGCGGAGGCCAGAGCTGTGCACCTGGGGCCTTTGGCAGAAGAAAGCGAGCAGGGAAATGGTATAATTCACAGCTGGCTGCAGTCTGCAGGGTGTTTTCTCCTGGTCTAGAGAATCTGCTGCGGTTCTCACAGGCAGATGTGGACCTTGACAAAGTCCGCCACGGTGCTCTTAGATACAAACCTCACCCCCAAACATGCCTTTGAGCTGTTCCTGCCCTGAGGGAGGCTTGGGCAGTACTGATCGCACTGTTTAGACAGAAAACATAGTCCCAGGCTGGGTTCTTTGTCTCCAGAAGGAGCACGCCCAGCCTGGGCACTGTCTTGAGGCCCTGAGATTTCCTCCCCAGTATTACATCAGACCTAGAGATGCACATCCACTGGGAAACCCAGCTTTTCCTGAGCTGGCATCCTCAGTGAAGAGATTTGAGACATCTTTGTGTGCATGTGAGGGATGTGGCTCTGGTTCCTGTATGCCTCAAAATGTGCTGGGAAGGATGTCACTAAAGCTGTTGGAAAGCAGAGGCCCACTATACCTTGAGCTCAGGCCCGAACTTGTCTGTACAGAACTCTGTTTAAGCCATGACGGTGTCTTGTAGCTGATTTAGCCTTTTTTTCAGTGACTGTGGAATCAGCTCAGCCACCACCCAGCCTGGAGGTTTCATTCTGTGTGGCATTTCTGCGCTCTTGACTGGCATGTCACCCTGTCCCTCTGCCATCATCATAACTCCCATCTTAGCCAGTTGGTGCCCAGAACCAGATCACCATCCTCAGCTCCATTAAGTTTCATCCTCTCCTGGGAGATGCTACAGTTGGAACTCTCTGTCTTCAGTGGAAGAAAACTAACTGAGCTGCTGTAGTTTTATCCAGGGGAGGGAGGAATAGACAGGGAAGACAAAAATTTTTTGGTTTGGAACTTAATGCAAGGACAGTTTCACAGCAGATCTGAGAACCTTCTGTGGAAGACCGCCATGAGCACAAGCTTTCCTGTCGCTGAGCACACTCGCAATATGCTGCTGAGTTGCTCTGGGGGGGGACTCCTTTCCTTGTAGCTATGCTGGCATATGGTGGTGTTTGTCAGGGTTTAGTAGCTATGTGAAACTTGAGTCTTCATCCCCAGAGCCTGGAGAACACATGCCTGACAATACATACTAGCTTTGAATCCACCCCCTTCAGCTCAGAAAGGGCTGGCCTCCGAGTCGGAGTTGTTAACACCCCAGTTCTGCTTTTGCTTCCCACAGCTGAGTGCCCCACCTCATGCCGCTCACCCTAGCTCGGTGAACGCGGACATCTACTCTTCACCGAAGGAGTGTGTTTCAAATGTGGAGTAAAAGCCTGGAAAATACATCTTTGAGTAAAGGTCTGGCTGGGTCTTGAGCTAGTGATAAACTCGCATCTCTTGGTGGTGTCTGCAGACTTGTGGCAAACTGACATCAGCTTTTCCAGAAGAGAAAATAGAAATGTCTTTTCCCCAACTGCAGATTTCAGCTCAGGTAAATTCTATCCCTGGCAGTTTCTCCTTGTAGCTGTTGCTCCTGACCTTTTGATCTCTACATGTCATCCTGTGCCATTAGCTGCTACATTGCACAACAGACGTGGCTGCGTTGCAGCACTGGGAATGAAATGATCTCTCTATGTAGGAGATGTTTTGGTTTGTGGGATTGTATTTTTTTCTCCTCGGTGTCACTTTGTAAAGCACTTTGAGATGAAAGGAATTAGAGAAATGCATTGTATAAGGTTGTCTTACATTTGAAACAGAGAGAACAATTTGTAAATTAATATGAAGTCACTCCGTTAACAGCGGGATGGTTGCACCCTGCTCTTTAAAAAAGGAAAATAAACATTTGCTATTAACCTCTTTAAAAGTCTTGTTGCAGTTCTAGAGTTGGGTTGGTTGGGGCATGCGTGCTTGGTAGCCAAGGGAAAAATCAAGTCTGACTGGTGTTGTGCTCTCTGCTTCTCTTGCCACTTTGTGCCCTAAGGGACTGGGGTTTTAATGCTTTTCTTTATCAGCCTGCCCCTCCTGTAGCTGGCTGCTCCCTGACTTCACCAAGGGACTAAGTGACAGCGCTTTGGTAGCAAGCAGAGTTTTTCCAAGGTATTTCTTCATAGAATCATAGACTGGTTTGGGTTGGAAGGGACCTTAAAGCCCCCCTCGTTCCACCCCCCCTGCCATGGGCAGGGACACCTTCCACCAGACCAGGTTGCTCAAAGCCCCATCCAACCTGGCCTTGAACACTTCCAGGGACGGGGCAACCACAGCTTCTCTGGGCAACCTCTGCCACTGCCTCACCGTGAAGAGATGCTTGTGAAAGGCAGGGCCCTCTGGCTCTTGCTGAGGGAGGCTGAGGTTTCCTCCTGCTCAGTCGTGGTCTGCTTCAGTTTGCTGGCTTGAAGCATTGTATGGGATACGCTGGCTGTCCCAAAGGCTGGTTAATTCAAGGATCTTTTTTCCTTCCTCTTCACTTGCAGGGCTGAGCAGTCTCCTGCTTTTCCTCTCAGCAGGTGGAGGCAGAACTGTGGTGGGAAGCTGCCCGAGGGGCCCTTAAGTGGTGTATAATGAATGTTTCTCTTCTCTGGAGACTTTTGGATCATGGACTCTTCTTTGGCAGGTCGTTTGGCTGCATGGGGGCCTGGACCTTTGGATGCAAAGGCAGGAGCTGGCAAGCAAGAGTTGTAGCAGCATCAGGGACTGAACTTGCTCCTGCTGTTCGGGTAATTCCCCTTGCTTTTAGCTGCAACTGGATTTGAAAGGTAGACCCAGCTCCTGCAGGCTCGCTCTTGTCCGTTATAGAAGGAGAAGGGGGACGGTGGCTGGGTTCCCCTGGCCCCAGCCCGTGTGCGGCTCTCCATGCCGCAGCAGAGGCAAGCAGAAGGGAGAGGTGCCGGCTGGTTGTGGGCACGGCGTGTGCCTGCCCTGCAACAGCAGCAGCTCTCAGACTCTGCAGGTTGGGAAGTCAGGTCGCTCTGGTTTCGCTAAAATCATTTGCTCTACTCCTGCGTTTAGCTGTAGACACGAACATGGAAGATTTCTTGCCACGGTATCATTGTGATGGCAGCGGAGGGGAAAAAGCAAAACACCAAAGGCCTTTGGGAAATGGAACAGAGGTACAGTCAGAGCAGAAAACAGGATTAGACCTCATGGTAGTAGTGGTTCTGGGACCTGGATCTGCTCTTTACTGTAAAGGTAAACTCGCATGAGGATGAGTGAGAGAAAGCCTGGCCCCAGGGATCCTCGTGTCTCTGGGGGAGGCAGGGTGAGTGCACAGTGCTGAGGTTCTCCCCAGCGTGGGGCAAGGAACCTCGGAACCCCCACGGGCTTCCTCTGGATTCGTGCTTGATGCAAGGGTGGTCAGGCCTTTGCAATTTTTCCTGTGGCATGCAAACCTGAGACCCAGTCACTGGTGCTTGCTGTGACTGTGACAGAATTATCACCGTGACCTTCTCCACGCTGTACTTACAGCCAGAACTGGGGTCCTGCATCCTCCCTACTCACAGTACCCCGAGACACTTTGCCAGGCCCCCAAATCTCCCCGTCATCCTTTTCCCTTTCCATTCCTCTGTAAATACGGGCATTATTGCCTTCCTCTGAGGGGATGAGCAGCCCCTTGCTGCTGCCCTCGGATTTCCCTGGCCTGTTGAGGTCGGTGAGGGTGCGTAAGATTTACCCTGGCTGGATTCGCACTCGTTGACATTTGACGTGATGGGAGGGAGAGAAGGGCGGCACTGGAGGCAGCTCGGTTTCAGCAAGTGCCCAGAGGAAGGAGCTGCCACATCTGGGCTGTGAAGACCCCCAACAGATAGCAGCGATGCTTACCCAAAGGTCCTATACCTTTTTCTAAAATGATGTCATCCTTTTTCAAACGGTGTTACTGTTTTATAGGACAAGTCATCTGGGCACGGAGAAGGAAACCAACTGGGGATCGCAAAGCAGGAGCAGGGCTGGTGGTGTCTGCCCGTGCCCTCGCCGCCAGTGCTGGGGTAGAGCAGGGGTGCGCGCGGAGGGGAGCTCCCAGGAGAGCCCGGACAAATCCCCCTGGACGGATGGGGGCTTCAAGGAGGAGGTGGCTGGTAGCCAGCAGGGCCAACAGCAGGTATGATGGAGTAATTAGAAGGGTTGTCCTCCTGCCAAACTCAAAGCTGTCCCCTGCATGTCCCTTCGCTGATGGGTCGGGAGAGGGCTGCTGGCTGTGCTGGGATGACTGGAAAGTTGCTCTGTGCTTTTCAGCTCCTGAGCTGTCCTGTGTTACGCAGCTACGTTTTGAATTGAGAGCTGTCTCCGGACAGGGATATAATTTTTTTTTTCCATTTTTTTTAGGAGTCTGACAAGAAGTAATACAAGAATCTCTCTTCTTTGCAAGAGGAGTAGCCTCTCCTCTTTCTGCAGAGGTTGGGTGCTGCCCTGTGCAGCATGGTCAGGCAGCCAGAAGAGGGCACAGACAGACCAGGGATGCGAATGGAGCATCTCAGGGTCCTGCCTCGCTTCTGCTCCTGCCTCTGTGGAGGCATCACACCTGCTGACCTGTCT